CGCCTACGCATGCAGCCTGCTCCGGCTCGTTGCAGGCTTGGCCTCCCAGCGGGATGGGGAGGGGGGTCACGACCCCCCCTCCCCACCCCCTGCTCGGCCTCGCGCTAATGCACACAATGCGTACAGGAGCAATACAAATCTATAGACAACTAAAAAAATTGGGGGGGGGGCAACCCCCCCTTCTACCTTACCGTACAAACAATAAAAAAACCAACTACAGAACGCAACTTTAGGCAAAATCAGTGTGTTTTGTTGGGCAAAAAAGTAGTGCAGTATCATAAAGCAATGCAGTTTCGGCATGCACACAGGTGCATCCCTGAACTTGTAGACAAAAAAATGCAGTGCTTTTTGTTGGACAAAGAAGTTCGGCATCAAATGCGATGCAATTTATGGAACACATATGATACATATAAGCGTGACAAATGCCAGTTCACATAGAATGTGGTCGTCGACAAAAAATAAAAATATACACTTATATATAATGTATGAGTTATTTATATAAAATAAACATACACATACAAATTCGTCCACATATACTGCTGCAAAAAGAATAAGAAAAAACACAATGATAGAAAAAATAGTCTTTTTCATACATTATCTACCTTACTCAGCACACACATACACAACATCAAACCCTAGTTCTTGTCCACGCACAGACTTTTGCCCCAGTAGAAAACAGTGCCCAAATGACTGTTACTGTGTCTGCGAATGCGTCTGCGATTGCGATAGGGAAGTGAGCCCGAGGTCCGCAATCAGATCACGTAGCTCAAGCGGCATGTCTTCATAACACAACATGTTCGAAGGATTGAACAACAGCTGGAACATGTACTCCGCCTTCCAATCTTCAACAGCAGGCTGAAAAAAGAAAATAAAAAAATGCAGACCAGTGATTAAGAAAAAGGTTGTCATAAAGAACAAAAAGCAAAAAAATTAAAATAATAAAAAAGTAACAAGAAAAAGAAGAAAACAGAGAAGCTGTTACGTCGAATTTCAAAATTTTCTCAACTAGACATTGGCCGTCATACAACTGCATCATCCTCAGAACATAGATTCCGCACTCATTTGCTCCCTGCGCTGGCACGACCGGGTAAGAGGGCTTCTTTGCCAATTTAACCCAGTCAGGGTGGTTCTTCGACTTATACATTTTTTCACCATAAATCGCCTTCAGCACCTGAGTCATCCTCCTCATCTGGCAAAAAAAGGAAGCACAAGGTAAAAATAACACACATCATGGATCAAAGTTGCTATTCAGACGAACCAAAAAAATATAAAAGTTGTTCTCAAACGTCTAGACAGTCCCTCTTTTAAGTGCACGCGAGGTCATTTCCCATTACCCTTTTTACACAGATTATGGGGTGTGTGAGAAAAATGCAGTTCGTCGCGCATATGTTGCAGTGCACTACATAAAAAATTGTGGTTCTATGTGTGCTAAAATTTGCATGTGCAGTTTATGAAAAAATGTAGTAGGAGAAACACAAAAAAGTTTTACGCTTGGCAAGAAAAAATGACATACCACTTCAGTGCAATCTGCGTGGTAGTCAGTCCTGCGCCACCTTATCGTGACATCAAGATGGCCAGGGTACTTCCTACTGTCATGGATATCAACCGTCTGACGATGTTGGTTCATCGTGTGTAAGGAATAATGACCATCCTTGGATCGCGGCATCATAATCTGTTCACATCAAAAAAACAAAAATGAAATAAAAAGTTCTTTCGACACATAGCACCAGGCCACTGTTCTAAAAATAACTATAAAAAGAAATGCAACAAACCAGGAAAAAAAATGACGGAAAACAATGAACTTACCAGTTTTGCATCCAACAGGTTTGCATCGTCGCTCACAAAAACCTTGAACTGCTTAACTGCATCTTCTAAAACAAACGAGCTATGCATAACTGGCAACATAGGATTTCCGTCATTATCTCTCGCCACAAAGGTTTCCATTTGAAGAACGTACTGCACAGAAAAAAGAACAAAAAATGGACATGAAAAAAAGAATAAACAATGCAAGCAGGCATGGACATGAAAAAGCCAGTACAATAGGAAAGAATGACAGCAAACATTTACCGTGATAAATAAAGGTGAAAGTAGCACACGTTCACCGGATTGATAAGCTAAATCCAATTCAGGGTCTTGCTTCCAGTACTTGATGACAAAATCCATGAGATACGAATCCATTAAAGCTCCTTTGCCAAATGTATCATAGATATAGTCGACATTGTAATTATCGACATCACCAAAAGGACTACTCACCATAGAACGTGTTCCTGCAGTAAACATACACAGATGGGATCAATAAAATTAGAATTAAAATCAAAACACACAAAAAGGATGAAGGGCACACACATCACATAAAACTTACTCATGGTATTTAGTTACAAAATCTTTGCTGAGAACAAGATCCTTTATTTTAATCGCCTCATCAATATATTTGAACCTCGGATGCTTCAATTTCTCTATAGAGCATCTCAACTTAAAAGCCCTCTCACCTGCCCTCTTGTTTGAAAATACTTCAACCTCATCCAAAGGAGGACGATTAATTGCTGCACTCCTAGTCCTAGTGACACATGCACACGACGTAACAAAATCATCATCATCAACATCATATACATCATGTGGAGAGCTAGGTTTAGAGACACTTCCACCATCAGGTCCAGACGCCACATTTGTGTTCAAACCATCTCCAGCCAAAGAACCAGAATTATCTGGAGAGATTTCAGTGACACAATCCTCCATAACCACCTCAGAACCCTGGGACTCAAACAGTGACGTATAGCCTTCATGAAGCCCCCCACCAAAACCTAAAAACGTGCAGAAAAAACATGGAAGCACTCAGCACAAAACACAAAAACCAAAGAACATGTATACAGAAAAATAGAATGCAGTCCACTTGTATACAGCAATGCAACCCACTTGTCTACAGCATTGCAGGCCATTTCTCTACATTAGTGCAGTCTACTTGTATACAGCAATGCAGCCCACTTGTCTACAACATTGCAGGCCATTTCTCTACATCAATGCAGTCGACTTGTATACAGCAATGCAGCCCACTTGTCTACAGCATTGTAGGCCATTTCTCTACATCAATGCAGTCAACTTGTATACAGCAATGTAGCCCACTTGTCTACACCATTGCAGGCCATTTCTCTACATCAATGCAGTCTACTTGTATACAGCAATGCAGCCCACTTGTCT